AGCAAAGCTAGTTTCCATTCCGACTAGCACGGCAGAGGTGGAGAAAGAAATTTTCTATCTACTCTGTTATCAGAACACAACGCAGAAGTCGTACAACGATAGAGCATCTATGCAAATGCTTAAGATTTGTCAACCTTCTACTAAACATATTGTTATCTAACTTCATTTAAAGGATTGGTATGAGAGGTCTAGATAGGCTGTTACCGTATGACTTTTTGAAATATCATAAAAGATGGTATGAAGAAACTGGTCACTTACCTGCTGACTTCCTGGGCTACCAGAGGGCCAGGAAAAAAATCACAAAAGCGCTTAGAAGAAGAAGAAAGTTTCAAATCCATTTTCGACTCAGACTTTTGCACGCAATTCTACTTCTACTCCGATGACCTTTTGGAGGAAGAAGAAGATTTTTCAGGCAGCGAACTTGTTGTCTCTGACGTTAGCGATAGTGATATTGTTGATGATGATGTGCAAGAAATGAAGTTGTTCCTAACTTGTACATCTTTTGGGATAAACCTTATTGCTTTTGTCTTTTGTTGATGCAGTGAAACAGGAGCACAGATCTTCATAATCAATTTTTTTAAATTTTTAACTTCTTTTGAAAATTTTGAAATTTTTTCAATTTGTGCCTAAATAAGGTACAAATTAGAGCTCTTCATATCACGCTTTTTTACCTTTTCTCTCTTTCCCCCCCCCCTAAACTCACATACCCCCTTCACCCTGGAAGGTCGGGAACAGCCGAGACCCCCTTCACCTGGGGAGAGCCCGGCTCCCCCTATCGCACCTATGGTCCGGGGGTAAGTGAGCATGCTGAGAATTCTATAATCACACTCGGAATTGACGAAGACGTAAATTTACCTAAAGTTGTTGTAGATCCACTTTGTCCCGCCTTTACATTCTAAAATCCTACTTCTGCCCTTAAAATCAGAAAAGCATAAAGAGCCTGGTCTCGAGGGAAGAAGAGGCTTATAAAATGAGGCGGCAAGAAATTTTCGCTAAGAATTTCTACGAGTCGATATCTAATTATACAGAAATTTCCTTGAAATTTACTTCTGTCCCTTTCACTCTGCAAAAACCATACTTCTGCCTCTGAAAGCAGAATAGTGGTCTTTGGAGATGGACAGACGTATGAGCTTCATCCGATAGGACATTTTCACTAAACTTTTGGCCCTCAAGTTTCGCAGAAACCACAAATTCAAAAACCACACTTCTGGTCCTAAAAGCAAAAAAGACAGGGAGCTTGGTCTCGAGGGAAGAAAGAATTATGGCTCAGGCAGCAAGATATTTTCGCCAGGAGTTTCTGGGTGTCAATGATTATATAGAACTTGCTTGAAATTTATTTCTGGCATTTTTGGTCTCGGGGGGAAGACTCATAAGCTCAGCCAGCAAGATATTTTCGCTGAAAATTCTTGGGTGTCAGTGTTTATTCATACAGAAACTTGCTTAAAATTTACTTCTGGCCCCTCTACTTTGCAAAAACCATATTTCTGCCTCTAAAAGTAAAAAAGCACAAAGTGCTCTCGAGGGAGGGGCAGACCCATGAGCTTCATCCGACAAGACATTTTCGCTAAGATGTTTAACCCCTAGACTTCGCAAAAACCAGTACTTCTGCCCTGAAAGCAGAAAAGCACAGGGTGCTTGTTCTTGAGGGAAGAAAGGATCATGGCTTCAGGCAGCAAGATATTTTCGCCAGAAGTTTCTGGGTGCCAATGATTATACAAAAACTTGTTTAAATTTTACTCTGGCCATTCTACTTTGCAAAAAACCACATTTCTTCCTCTAAAAGCGAAACAGCACAGATAGCTTGGTTTCGAGGAGAAGACAGAACCATGAGCTTCATGCGACAAACATTTTCGCCAAGGGGTTTGACTCCTAGACTTCGCAAAAACCAGTACTTCTGCCCCTAAAAGCAGAAAAGCACAGGAAATTTAGTCTCTAGTGAAGGACAGCCCATGAGTTTCATCCGACAGGACATTTTCGCTAAGATGTTGGACTCCAAAACTTCGCAAAAACCACAAAACTCAAAAACCACACTTCTGGCCCTAAAAGCAAAAAAGCACAAGAAGCTTGGTCTCGAGGGAAGAAAGAATTATGGCCTCAGGCAGCAAGATACTTTCGCTGAGAATTTCTGGGTGTCAATGTTTATTCTACAGAAACTTGTTTGAAATTCACTTGTGGCCATTCTGCTCTGCAAAAACCAGAATTCTGCCTCTGAAGGCAGAAAAGTGGTTCCGAGGGAAAAACAGACCCATGAACTTCTTGCGACAGGTAATTATCTTCTCTGAAAATTTTGGCCTTTTGAACTTCGCTAAAATCACATTTTTGTCCCTAGAAGCAAAAAAACAGGGAGCTTGGTCTCGAGGGAAGAACAGACTCAGGGCTCAGACAGCAAGATATTCGCGCTAAAAATTTTAGGTGTCAATATTTAAATATAAAGAAACTTGCTAGAAAAATTACGGCCCCTTCTTCTTAACCATACTTCTGCCCGTAAAAGCGGAAGCATGGGAGCTTGGTTTCGAGGGAAGGATAGACCTAGTGTTTTAGGCCCCGGTCAGACTTCACGCGACTTAATCGTGGCGATCTAATCGCCAAGATTTCCATTCATTTTCATTTCACATTCAAAATTTCGGGCTGGAAAAGTACCACAACCGAAATGCAAGCTGGCCGGCATGCAATGGACTCATATCAGTTGTCTCGTCGCGATTCAGTCGCGACGACCAAATCGCGTGAAGTCTGCCCGGGGCCTTATGCGACAGGACAGTTTCGGTAAGATTGTCCTTCAAAAGAAGGCGTTGGGCCCGCTTTTGTCCGTTCTAAGAAATGAGTCCGTTCACTGACAAGACATCATCGAAGAAAATACCGCTTCGCTTTTACCTACATATTCGAGTTTTCGGCTGCTGGAAGACATAACCTGACGCTTCCCTTACATGGCACTTTCCTGGAAATCAGTCTGAGTTTTGGGATGAATCGGCTGTTCTAAACAGGTGCTTGGAGGTAGCTTCCTTGTTTAAGAGCTGTGGTATCTGGGCGAAGGTAGATATCTGCAAGAGGAATAGCAGAGATGCTTTGCGGATAGTCACTAGTAGTAGCTTCTAGAGCATAGTGTTTTATTTCTACTACTCACAACACGCGAAAGGTCGAAAGGTCTTGAAAGATGGAAATTCTCTTTCTTGGGATTTTAGTTAAATAATGGCAGAAATCAATGTATCTGCCCCCACCTACCTACTAGCGACCCGTAGGGTCGCTAGTCTTATATATAAAGCTGAATGTCTGTTTGTCTGTCTGCCTGTCTGTCTGTCTGTATCTCTGTATGTGTGTACGTATGTTCCGAATAGAAAATTCCATTTCTGAACCGATCCGGACCAAACTTGGCACACATACACATCGGGCCCCGGCGGGTGTCATAGGCCACCTTTCGTCATCGATCGATATCGATTTTATCGATTTTTTGCAAAATTCGAGCTACGGGGCTGGGAGTTGGCCTGTCTGTCTGTCTGTCTGTATGTCTGTATGTGTGTACGTATGTTCCGAATAGAAAATTCCATTTCTGAACCGATCCGGACCAAACTTGGCACACATACACATCGGGCCCCGGCGGGTGTCATAGGCCACCTTTCGTCATCGATCGATATCGATTTTATCGATTTTTTGCAAAATTCGAGCTACGGGGCTGGGAGTTGGCCCGGGGGGGGGGGGGTAATCGAGCATGCTGATCACCCCCGTGGGGGTGATCAGCATGTTCGATTACACCCCTCTGCCGAATCCCAGCCCCGTAGCTCAAATTTTGCAAAAAATCGATAAAATCGACATCGATCGATAACGAAAAGTGGACTGTGACACCCGCCGGGGCCCGAAGGGTATGTGTGCCAAGTATGGTCCGGATCGGTTAAGAAATGGAATTTTCTATTCGGAACATACGGCGGAGCCGGGTAAGCCAGCTAGTATGAAATAATTGAGAGCAATTGCGCGGAAGACAACGGCTGAGTCGTATAAATCTGGCTTCAAAGAGGGAATGAATATGCTCCTAAGTCTTTAACGTATGTTTTTTTGATCAAGGTCTCACCGGCATGTTCGCAATGGAAATCATCATCTGCGGTAACACTATGTGGAACACTGACTTTTACTCTGTTTACAGAAATGCCCCAAATTTTGCACCACTTGACTATGTGGTTGATGGCACGTTGTAGTGCATTTTGGACTATTCTGAGGTTTTATTACAGATGCCGAAAATTTTGTTATCGTCTGCATACATCAGAATATGCACATCTGGATGGGTTTTGAGTAATCTTGGTAAATCAGCCGTGTAGATGTTGAACAAGAGAGGTGACACTGCGCCTCCCTGGGGAAGCCTACTTATTCATAAAGAACATTCAGAATGTTTTAGACCAACGCAAACAGTCATCATTTTTTTATCTTGAAGATAGGATCTAAACCATTTCAACAGATGATGCCTCTGATGCCATAATGATCAAATTTGAACAGCAATTTTTCGTGGCTTATGCGGTCAAAAGCTTTTGATAAATCGAAGTATATCACATCGATTTCCTTATCGTCGAGAACAGCATTGATCATGGGTACAGTCTAATTGAGTAACCGTAGATGCACCATTCCTGAATTCACGCTGCTCAGGCGGTATGAATTTGAATTTTTTAAACCATTCAAGGAGTTTGTCGCGAATTATTTTTGCAAGTACCTTACATGATATATAATAGAATTTATGCTTATAGGCCTGAATTCTGTCACAGAATGTGAATTGGTCATTTTGGGAACGGGAGTGACAATGGCTTCTTTTCAAATTTCCGAGTTTTTTTCTTTCTGTATTTCCGAGTTCCTTTGAATTCTGTCACTTTTTCAGAAATGCTTATTTAAACTTTATAGCTTCAACTGGAATCTTATAAATCTGTATAAATGAGCACTGTACGCAACTTAAAAGCGTGTTCCTTCTCCATTGGTTGAGGTAGATATCTCTTGAACCTGAGATCTCCTGCGCAACAAATTCTGACTTATCCAATCACGATATGGTTTAATGTAATAAAGAGATAACATCGGGCTTATTATAGGAACAAGACCAACAATGATGGGTCCTGCGTAACCAATTAGAGATGGAGATAAGAGCCCGGATGCCTCCGATGCATTGGCAAGAAAGCAGAATCCAAAGACACCCGGCAGCATAGCTTGATATGTTATTGCCTGAAATATGATTACCTTATGTCTTTATCCAAGTTGATACAGCTCTCAAACCCTTAAAAGTTGCGAGTGTATGCGTCGCGTACGTGCAGACATCGAAGGCTCTGACTGTAGTCTCACTTTGATCATTTTCCTGAGTAGCAGAATAGTTGCGTAAACAGGAATGAACGGAATCACTATGAGCATCAGAGCGTATAAAATTGGCCAGTCCAAAACGGAGAGATTGCCGCTGATACATTCATTAGTAATAGTATGGTGAAAATCTTGAGCAAACTTCTTCCTGATGACATCTTCGGGGCCAAATGCAAACGCGCTAGTTATTACCTGAACATTTAATCTGTTATTGGTTTCGCATTGCTGGCCATTATAGATCATAATATAAATTACTTGTCTTTGCCCCTTTTCCGTATCCTTTCATTTTACTCCCTTACCCTGTCCCTGTGTTCCAAGTCGTGCTGCAGCCCTCCTGTGCTGGATTTCTTTCTTCCTAACCATTTCATTTTATAACATTGTATCCTTCATCGCAAGACGTGAGTGAGTTTGATGTCCCAGCTTACGTGATTAAGGGGAATTGATCCAATATTGATTGATCAGCTTTTTTACTTAGCTGTATGTAAACAAATCTAAAGGTGATAGAGGTCCAGTGAGTTGCCGCGAGAAGCAGCCCATGTTTTCCGCTGCGGCTCATTTATAAGGGAGCAAAATTCAGCCCAACTACATAGAAGATTCCCATAGTGAACATATATCTTTACTGCAAACAGACTTTGAGACATATGCTTGAAGATAGATAAAGTCACAATAATGTGTACTTCCTTTGTACAGTCTGTCTAAATCGAAATTATGCCAAAAGTTGCCGAAAAAAGTGCGCGCGCAGCATCGCCGAAATGCCAGAGCAAATGAGTAGAGAGCAAACACTTTTTCTTACGATCGCAGCGAACCCGTACATGCCGCGAAAACATGATGCAAACGCATATCTGCTGGGCTTGATAGAGCATACATCACTTCATTATGACATCAAATGCCCAGATTCAAAGAAGAGAGAACTTGGAGTTTACTGACAGGAATGCTCACTATGATTTGCTGTGTGAGCGTGCAATGACGCAGTCTGCCAATGCTACGATGAAAGACGCTGCGGGGAGTTAACGACTGTCTTTAGAACGAACTTAAGCGCACTTACTACGCTTGAAAGCAGTGTTCGGACAAGGCTGAGTGTTGTGGAATTTTGTTGTCATGTAAAAGCGGGCTCTCTTGCACATGCGGAGCTATACCGTTGAACAGAAGCGAGAAATCGCTAACTCTCAAGAAATATCGAATTCAACTTTCTTTACTCGGCTTTTCGCTTCAACATCCATGTTTCTGGGTTTCCCGAGATCCAAAGTTGGAGAGCTAAAAATACCGTGTTACTTCTACAAGTTGCGCTATACAGTCGCTTTGGTGGACAGCAGTGCATTATTTTGGCAAAAGCATAAGCGTTTTTGCTTCCTCGCTTTGTACCCAAGCAAAAATACAGCAACGGGGCAACCAGAAGTTTTTAAGGTGAAATGAAGCTGAAGCAAAGCCATAGGAGTTTATTCGTAAAGCTTGCTTTGCTCAGGGGTGGGAGGAAAAATTTTTACTTCAGATTTCCTAACAAGTTTGATATCTCTCAAGAGAGAACTAGAAAGAAACATGTTGACAGTCAAGATAAAATGTTTATTAGAAATCGCATGAAATTCTAACGAAAAGCATATAACCAGGATATATTCGCTCTAGAAAGCTAAGAAAATGTGTGAAGTTGCAGAATATGTGCATAGCTCTAGGACATATCATATACATCTGATGATGCTTATATTAGAATTTGAAAGTAAGTACCCTTTGATTAAACAATAAGCTTTACCAAATTACGATTTTTTGTTCGTGCAGATACAAAAACTACCTAATGAAATTTTGGCGTGTGACAACAGCACTCTTTCAAAAGTAAACTGAAGACACTGAAACTGTGAAATATTTACAGATAACGTTATTTCAACATCTGTGTTACTCTCATCCGATTAATCTTTGATGCGATTACCAACCAGGATTCAATGACCACTTTCGGACTGTCTAATTCCATACATTACTCATGATGACTCATCTTGAATCATCACATGATACTACTTCGACACCTATATTGTTATATTAGCTTGCGTGCGATTAGATCTCAAAACAAAGGCTGCGTTCATACTGATTCCCATGTTCTGGAACTGTTCCCGCACAGTTTCAGCACAGTGCGAGAACTGTGCGGGAACAGTTCCAGAACATGGGAATCAGTATGAACGCAGCCAAAGTACAATTTGAGCTCCGAATGATTTGTGTTGTTTTCAACACCAATCACTTTCTATATTTCTTATTAACCATATCTTGTCATCATGTTAGTTCAGGTATAATCAACCACTTCTTCTGTTTTCCAATCGGTACAGCTTGATGACTTGCTTATCCTGAGTTACAAAAGGGCTCGGCATGAGGTGGCCTTTTCAATTTTTCAAAAACGAAGTCTCTGTAGACTTCGGCACAAAAATACGACATCACCTGTAGAACGAATAACGAGAATAATGGAAAAAACATAAAAGCAACTTCGAATAGACGAAAAAGACTAAAAATGTTCGTATTCTCCGAAATGGCGGCATGCTGTGTCCGGCGCGCAGCCCTGCGCGCTCGGAGCAGGCTTGCCGCTGCCATACAAAATATTTGGAGGTTTGTAACTAGGCGAGGAGGATGGGATTTAGGGAGATTCAAAAACTCAGTTGTAGGGTTTTTGATGTAGAAGAAGGTTATGTTGAAAATGTGAGAAAATTATGTGAAGGAAGAAAAATATAAACTTTTTCTTTTTACAGCCACCTCAGGTAACTGTCCAGGGGTTCCGCTTCAACGACATCCCCTTGCTATTATTCCAAAACGACATACTTGCCCTGTAAGCCACCTGTGCCGAGCCCTGTACAGAACGCGATACTTACTGGCATTTTTTGGAGTCACTGGACTGAATCCCCCGAAATTTTTTGGACAGGGCTACTTCTTGCTCCACCAACCTAACCCCGCTTTGCTTATTCTAATACTCAGAGCATTTTTGCTGAAACTTGTATGATCACCATCTTCATACATTGCAATAACTTGAATCATTTTCCCAGTCACTTACGAGTCATTCATTTACTACAAGCCTTCCCATTCACTTAGAGTCATTAAACTCTTCCCGGTAGACTGGCTTGGTGACAGTATATCCACCATCAAAATGTCGTTTACTTGTTGCGAGATTATTTTGCTGGCATACAAAGGGGGCATGGGTACCATCTCCATGATCACATTCATTCGCCGAATCTGTAGGTATTTAGCAGTCACAGCAGACTGAACTATTGCATCCACTAATTTAGTCCAAAATTAGGCCCGAGCTACATGAGGATCTACTAGTTAGCTTATGAATAACTATGTTTTTCGTTTGTTTGCAAGATACCAATGAGCGTATTGAATAGATAAATAAAATAAAATAAAACTGGAATGGCGGTTGGAAGGGAGGGCTTCGTGACCTAATTAGAACTAGAAATTGATCAGAGAGCACGTTCGCGAGAGAGACGCAGACTGCTTCGCGGACGCGAGCGTTCGGCTTCCAGCCGCCAATCTCGTTGAATCAAAGGGTATGTAATGCTCTTGTCCTTTACATATAAAACTGACGATGAGAACTTTGCAATCAATTAAGCTTGCGCGTTTTGTTGTCTTTTACTATTAAAAATGGACGTTCTTTCATAAATCTCATGTGCCCGAACAATGTTTCTCGAGCGCTCTCAGAAATTGCTGTCAAGCTGCATCATTGCTTGTTCGCTTATTGGCTGCTAAACATACCTTCGATGGTCAAGAGACAGAGGCTAGAAAGTGATAGTTGTTTGAGTTCCTGTCCCCCATAAAAAGTGAAGGTTGTTTCAGAAAAATAGACGAAAATTTAGAGATACAAATTGAATTAGAAAACTTAGAAAATTCATATAAAGCAGAGGTTAGCACATCACCAAATCTGAAACCTTAACTTTGTGGTTTCCTACGCAGAGTTTCGTCTCCAGGATTGCCGGTTAAATTGGGTACCAACAACAACAAAGTTCTTTTCCAGTCAAAAAAAGCGCTGTTTAGCTGTGGCGTTAGTTGGGAGTCCGAAAGAAGAAGAACGTGTCAACAACTGAATTGAACATGTTAAACATGTCTGTAAAGTTGTGTTGCACATCAACGCCAATCTGATTTTTGATGCGTCCTTTAAATTTTCACCCCCGCATAGTCGTTTCGTACGCTGCGACGTTGTCTGGATTCTTCCGCTCATCATTCTGAGCAAGTATCGTCCAAGCTGGAAAAAATTCGTTGCAAAAGCACAGAAAGAGAACAAGGTAAAAGAAAACGCACTTTTTTGTATTTTTCACAAAACCGGCTTAAGCAAAGAAGTAAGCTCGGCGACGTTGTCTACATCATAGACAGAAACAAGACCTATCGAATACACAAAAAAACCGAGTGAAAAAAGTTAAACTGAAGAAAAAACAAGAGGTTTTCGAAAACGCCGTTTTTCGAAGATTTCTCGTTTAAATCCTGAAAAGAAGTTCCGCGACGTTGTCAGCGTGAAAATAGAGATCAGGAGCTTTAATATGATATATAGATTATCGAAATTGGGCTCCAACAACGAAGAAAAGGGTACCAGAGCCAAATGCCCCGCGCCCCGCATTTGAGGTAGCGAGGTAGCGCGCAGCGCGCGGAGACGCAGACGAGCAGCGGAGACAGACCAGAGCCGACGGGGCATTTGGCTCTGATCGTGGATCTTCGCATCTCAACGAAACCCTGCAACATTATATATCGTTGTGATCCTCATGAGACGGCCAGGAGCACTGACAATGTCGCGAGTCTTGAAAATCACTCCATAACGAGATAGACCAGCATTCATATGGCGACTCTTTGCGCAAGATTTGAGCCCGGTTTTTGTTTTTATTGAACTCTAGCGGCTTTAATGAACTTCCAACATTCAACCGCAGTTCAGAGAAAGGTTAATTGAAAAATTTTGTCCTAGTTTTTGATTGAATTTTCAAATAAAAACCTTCTTCTCAACAAAAAAGGCCATAAAAACGCAATCCTTCGGTTTTTTCAAGCTTCTCTTGAATGTCACTGCTATATTTGCCTCATTTAAATTCATCCCTATACGGTTATGTCATTAGTCATGTCACAATTTTTGGGGCTTCGCCCCGGATGACTTCTGTACTTCTCCCCAGGTGAAGGTTGTGTTCTATCATTGACGCTCAAAGTGAAGGTTACCAGAGTACATGGCTCTATGTATCGAAGGAATGCTGCTAAATAAATGAGGACCGCTTGCTCAAGTAGCCACGCCACAAAATTTGACTGACCGCTCGCAAAAAAGGCGACTGGCGGTCCGCTTGCCCCGTCTTATCCAACCTGCCTGCGGCAGAGTGCGCATGCCGCCATACTTTCAACCACAGGTCCCAAAGCGAACTTGCGCCTTAGCCCTGGA